TGGTAATGATAACCCTATATGCAAGACAGAAAAAGAGACACAGATGTATAAAACAGACTTTTGGGCTCTATGGGAGAAGGCAAGGGTGGGATGATCTGAGAGAACAGTATCGAAACATGTATATTATCAAGTGTGAAACAGATCGCCAGTCCAGGTTGGATGCATGAGACAAGTGCTCAGGGCTGGTGCACTGGGATGACCCAGAGGGATGGGGTGGGGAGGGAGGTGGGAGGTGGGTTCAGGATGGGGACCACATGTAAATCCATGGCTGATTCATGTCAATGTATGGCAAAAACCACTACAATACTGTAAAGTAATTAGCCTCCAACTAATACTGAGCGACTGAACAACAACGTGGTAAAACTTCAACAGGTGAGGAGTTGCTTCATAATGATGAGCAAAGAAGTGGTTTCTTGAGATAGAAGCCATTCCTGGTGGGGATGCTGTAAAGAGTGTTATTAGGACAACAAAGGACTTAGAATAATTCATAAATTTAGTTGATAAAGCAGTTGTAGGCTTTGAGAGGACTGACTCCAGTTTTGAAAGAAATTTTCCTGTGGGTAAAATACTGTCAAGCAGCACTGCATGATTCCTCCTTTATGAAAGGAAGAGTCTGTCGATGTGGCAAACTGCATTGTTGTTTTATATTAAGAAGTGGCCGTAGTCACCCAAACTTTCAGCAACCACCACCCTGATCAGTCAGCAGCCATTGAGGCAACACCTTCCACCAGCAGAAAGATTATGATTCAGGGAAAGCTCAGATGATGGTTAACATTTTTTAGCAATAAAGTATTCTTTAATTAAGGTATGTACTTTTTTTAATACATAATCCTGTTGAATACTTAGTAGCCTACATTATAGAATAAACATAACTTCTTTTATGAGCTGGGTAACCAAAACTTTTGTGTTACTCATTTTATTGCCGCACTGTGGTCTAGAACCAGACCGTCAGTATTTCCAGGGTATGCCTTTATACGCACCACGTTTTATTTTCTCTTTCTTTGCATGGACACGTAGGTTGTTGCCATATATCGGTTATTGTGTATGATGCCCAGATGAACATGAGAATGCTTTTATCTTTTCAAGTTAGTATTTTCATTTTCTTCAGATAAAAACTTGGAAGTGAAATTGCTGGATCATGTGGTAGTTCTATTTTTACTTTTTTGAGGAACCTCCATAATGGTTTTCATAGCAGCTGCACCAGTTTACTTTCCCATCAACAGTGCACCGTGGTTCCCTTCTCTCCACCTCCCCACCAACACGTGAGCATCTTTATTATATCCTGACAGATGTGAAGTGATACTTCATTGTGGTTTTAGTTTGTATTTCCCTGATGATTACTGATATTGAGCATCTTTTCTTGTACCTTGTGGCCATCTGTATGTCTTCTTTGGAAAAGTCTATTTAGATTTTCTGTCCTAAGGTTTAAAATTAGGATTGTTTTTGTTTTTTTTTTTTTTGCTTTTCAGTTGTATGGAGTCTTTATATGTATTGAATATTAACCTCTGATCAGATATATGATTTGCAGACATTTTCTTTCATTCAGTGGGGTACCTATTTTGTTGATGGTTTTCATTGCTATAGAGAAACTTTTTAGTTTATTGTATTCCAAGTCTTATTTTGCAAAGTTATTTTTCTGTTGGAATTTTTATCTTTTTCTTGCTGGCATTTAAGTATTTTTTGTGTGCTAGATACTATTCCTTTTGTCAGTTTTATATATTGTAGAAATGTTTGTCATGTTTGTAGCTCTCTTAATTTTTTTGTGATGTCACTTCAGCATTAAAAGTAATTGCTTCTGATGTGATCAAATTTGCAGATCTTTTCCTTTATAGTTACCATTTCCTTTATAGTTATTTGTGTCTTGTTTAAAAGTCCAACACTGTTACGTTATAAAGATTTTCTTCTGTATTACATTTTTAGACTTTTGTAGCTTCATCGTTGACATTTTTTTTAACTTTAAACTTTTTGTTTTGTATGGGGTATAGCCAGCTAACAGTGTTGCCGCCATTTCAAGTGAGCAGTGAAGGGACTCAGCCATACACATACATGTATCCATTCCTTCCAAACCCCTCCCAGCTGTACTGGCACATAGCAGAGTTCCGTGTGCTGTACAGTAGGGCCTTGTTGGCATCCATTTAAATATAGCAGTGTGCACATGACCTTCCCAAACCCCCAGATTATCCCTTTCTTTCATCCTTCCTTCCCTCTAACCTTCAGTCCATTTTCTAGGTTTGTAAGTCTCTCTCTGTTCTGTAGGTGAGTGCATTGGCGTTGTTTCTTTGCAGATCCCACACGTAAGGGGCATCATATAATATGTTTGCTCTCTGTCTGACTTCACTCAGTATCATGCTCTAGGTCCGTCCTTGTTGCTGCAAGTGGTATTTCATTCTTTTTAATAGCTGAATAATATTCCATTGTGTATATGGGCCACATCTTCATCCATTCCTCTGCTGATGGACTTTTAGGTTGCATTGACATTTATTTTTAATCAATCTGGGATTGATTTTTGAGTATAATATGAGAGCTAGAAGTTCATTGTATTGGAACAAAATCAAAAATTTTTATTCTGGGACCATTTATGAAAATGCCCTTCCATCCCTGCTAACCTGTAGTGCGTATTATATTTAAAATTAAATTATTATACTTATGTGTGGGTGTGCTTCTGGCTCCATCAGTCATTTTCCCTATTTCTGCACCAATATGTTATCTTAATTACTGTGGCTTTATAATAATTCTTACCTAGTCAACAGGTCCTCTTGTATTCTACTTGAGAGTGTCTGGTTATTCTAGCTGTCTGTTCTTATATATAAATCATATTTTGAGTTGTAATCAGGTTTTCAAGTTTATCTCCCACACCCATGTTGAAATTTTGATTAGAATTACCTTAAGTCTTTGGAGCATTTTGGGGAGTTTGAGCATCTGTATAATATTGGATCATTCAGTCTATAAACATTGTACATATTTTCATTTACTTAGATCTTCTTTAACTTTTTCCAGTAAAGTTTTACGTTTTCTCTTGTAATTTTTTTGTTTCCTTTACTCCTAGGCAATGCATGGTTTTTGATGGTATCTTTTTAAAATTACATTTTGCAACTCATTCTTGCAGAAGTTTAGAATGGCAGTAGGATTTTTATGTAATGTCTTTGTGTTCTTATTATAACCATTTATTAATTGTATCACTTCTGTGTAAATTATGTTAGATTTTCTATGTGGAAAATCTTTTCATCTATGAATGACACTTTTGTTTCTTCCTATGAAAATAGGCCTTTGAAATCTGTTAATCATTTCCATGATTTTCTTTATAGTTTTTTTATCACCCCCAAATTTTTGTCAGACATAATGTTTAGTTTTCATGTTTTTGGATTGTATACTAATGGAGCGATTACATATTATTCTGGTACTTGCTTTACTCCCCTACTGTAGACTGAATTGTGTACCCCTCCATTTACATGTTGAAGCCCTGACGCTCAGTTTGATGTTATCTGGGGTTAGGACTTTGGAACTTAATCAGGTTTAGATGAGCTGATGACCATGGGGCCCTCAGGGTGTGATCAGTGCCCTTACCAGAAGAGATACCAGAGAGCCTGTTCTTGCTGTTCCTCCCCATAAGGACATGTGAGAATGCAACGAGCAGGTGGTTGTCTTCAAGCCAAAAAGATATCACCAGAAACCAGCTATCCTGGCACCTCAGTCTTGAACCTCTAGCCCCCAGAATTGTGAGAAAATACATTTCTGTTAGTTAAGTCATCAGTTTGTGGTATTTTTTTTTAAATGGCACCTTGAGCTCTGGTAACTCCTTTTTTCCACATTAATTTTTTGAGAATCATTCATATTGGTGGGTATAATTTACTTATTTAGTTTTTACTTCTTATAGGATTCCGTTATATAAGCATAGTGTAACTTATGTGACTGGTGAACATTTGGGTTGTTTTCAGCTTTTTTTGTTGTTACTGTTGTTATGGTGCCTTTATGAATATTCTTCTATGTGTTTCTTGGTATACAGGTTAAGAATTTATTATGTATATGTAGTTGTCAATATTGTACTGTTTTTGACCTTCAAAAACATATGGTTTCATATAGGTACAGTGGTTAGCATTGTACCTAAGAGTAGAGTGCTGAATTATAAAACTTCTTGCCCAAGTGGTTATACCATTTACCTTTCCACTGGTAGGACGAGAATTTCTTTGGCTCCATATCTTTGTCAACATTTGATATTGTCATACTTTTATATTTTTGCTCATATGGTACATGTTGAGTTATTTCATTGTTACTTTAATTTGTATTTCACTTCATAACTAATGAGGTTTAGCATCTTTTCATTTGTTTATGGACCATCATATATTCTTTCCTGGGAAATTTCTTGTTCATGATTTTGCCCAGTTTTATATTGCAGTGTTTGAGAAGCTGATTCTTTTTTTTTTTTTTGAGAAGCTGATTCTTATTGTACTTTGATATGGATTGCTTGGTGAATTTAATAAATATTTATTGAGTCAATCCTTGGTTTTAAGCTGTGCTTACATAAAGAGCTGGATAAACTCTGACCTCAGTTTGCACTTAAACTTACTTAATTGAGAGCACCAAACTTCTGTTCTTTCTTCTATTAAAATATAGATCAGTTCCATGAATTGTTTATAACACTATCTCTTTGTTTCAGTTTACCCATTTGTACGATGTACTTTGACTAGTTGATATCTAGTTTCCCTTTTACCAGTGTCTATAATTCATGTGTCTGATATTTTTCTTGTTGGTTTTTGAAGCTGAGAAATAAGTTTTATTATACTGGAAAATATTAAGTGCTGATTTTTCATGTTTTTGCTTTTTGTTTTTAATTTTAATATGTTGGGTTTTGTTCCTATTAAGATATAATAGGTTAGTTCTCCAAGGACTATATACTCTTACATGAATTTCCCAGACACATTACTGTCTTTTATTTTTAAATTCTTATAAAACTGTTAAACCTAGAAATTGGACTCTAATGTATATGAATTATTCTTTCTCAGAGTGAAGATACACAACAGCAAATCATCAGGGAGACATTCCATTTGGTATCTAAGAGAGATGAAAATGTTTGTAATTTCCTAGAAGGAGGATTGTAAGTAAAGCATTTCATGGGCATTTCTAATCTTTGACTGTATAAGTAGAGTATCACTGTTTAATGATTTTATTGTAAAATTTCCCAATTTGATTAATTGGGTCAGGGGAATTAATTGCATCTTATATTAGCTATAAATCTAACTTAAATAATTTTTAAGATACTTAATCTTTTTCTTTTAAAATTTTTATAAAGGCATTTTATATAAAGGTAATACATTCATATGGCAAAAATTCAAACAGAAATATAAAACGTAAACCAAGTCTTCCTCCTCCAACTTTAGTCCTTCTTCCCAGTTGCTTGTGTATCCTCCTAGAAAATTAGTTTTGCAGTAACATATAAAAATGTAAGGCTTCCCTGGTAGTTCAGCTGGTAAAGAATCCACCTCCTATGCAGGAGACCCCAGTTGAATTCCTGAGCTGGAAAGATCCCCTGGAGAGGGGATAGGCTACCTACTCCAGTATTCTTGGGCTTCCCTGGTCACTCAGATGGTAAAGAATCCACCTGCAATGTGAGTGACCTGGGTTCAATCTCTGGGCTGGGAAGATCCCCTGGAGGAGGGAATGGCAATGCACTCCAGTATTCTTGCCTGGAGAATCCCTGTGGACAGAGGAACCTGACAGGCTACAATCCATGGGGTCACAAAGAGTTGGACACTACTGAGCGACTCAACACAGCACATAAAAATATAACATTAAAAATTTTTACTTATGGGATCACACATGTATTTTGCTTATCATGTTGCTTGTTTGCACTTATATTTTGAAAAGCTTTGCATGTAAACCCATCTAGAGCAATCTCATTCTTTTTAATGACTACAGAGCACTCCTTAGGGTGAATGAACCTGCTTTCATAAAAGTTTAGATAGCATCTTTTATTTTATACTATGGACAATTCTGAAGGCTGCTTTTCAGATATTATATATGTGTGTGTGTCTAGGCACACACATAAGTTCAAATGCAAATAACAGACTTTTCTGTTTTTAAAATGAATAAATAAAAATTGCATATAATTAGTTTGCCAACTATTATGAATTTAAATTAATGGGTTTCATGAAAACAGTTTGTTCTCAAATGGTTTCACACATGTTCCCTTCCATGCTTATATGTTTAATTTCTTAACAGGATATTTCCTCACTGACAATTCAAAAAACTCAACTTTAACTGAACTTCACTGTGAATAATTAGAAATTAGTCAGAGAAACCTACACTTTTCTGTATTTCTAAGGTAGATGATGTATATTATAAAGAATAGCTTTCATGATAGAGAATTTAGTCATGCCTGACCATAAATTACTTTTTATCATGTAGAAAGTTTACTTGCATTTCTTAAAAGGTTATATCATGTTGCACTTAAATTTGCAAATACATACCTATGATTTGTAAATTTTGCTGTTAACTTGAGGCCTCCAATTTCATAGTTGATAGATGTACCTGCTTTCTGTTTTTGTATTTTAATTGTACCTCACTTATCTCGCTTAAATTTCTGTGGTTGACTTGTGTTTGCCAGTACCATCATTTCCCTTTATTTCAGTCTCTTGATCTTCTAATCTCATAGGAAGTTTGTCACCAAGCACAGTGTACTGCATGTGGTACATGTGCAAGAAATTGATCGATCTAACCAGGGCACTGTTTGAACCAGAAAGTATGACTTGAATTTGTGATTATTCTTTTCAACCTTATAAAAAGTAGAAAGCAAATATTGCATCAGAAATGGGGCTACACATCTAGTTTAATCCTAGTGTTGTTACTAACAAGCTGGTTTCCTTGGTTAGGTCACTAAAATTCTTTGTATCTCAGTTTTCCCCTTTTATGTTAAATGAGATATTTGGACTAAGGAACTCTAGAATTCTGTGGTTTTTATATTGTGTGTTACATTCTATACAAGAATTTGAATCGGTATTGTACTATATAGCAAAATTATAATAAAATGTATTTATATTAATATTTTTATTTTCTTTCAACAATTTTAATTGCCATTTTAAAACTTACAGTTTTTAAATGTTTGGTCTTCTTTTACAGCAGAACCGAACAAAAATTTAAGATAAATGACTAAATTGCAGATTCAGGATGAAGCCTGCTGTTTGTGCTCTCTCTGTCCCTTTCAAGGGTCAGGTGCCAGGACAGTGTATAAATAAATACAACTCAGGGACTCTTTGAAGTGCTTGTACATATTTTTTAATTGCATATATTTTCTAGATAGTAGGAGTTTTAATTCTTGTCCAAGATAATTTTCATTTTTGGTGTTAAAGGATGTAAAGTAATAAATGAGTGTATACTTAAGGAAGTTGTTTCTACAAACTTGTGAATTTAGTATTACTTTTACTGAGTAAGAAATAGGGACTTCCCTGGAGGGCCACAGGTTAAGACTCTGTGCAGGGGGCATGGGTTTGATCCTGGTTGGGGAACTGAGATCCCTCAAGCCTCAAAGTGAGGCCAAAGAAAAAGAAATAGTTGTTATTTTCCTGTGTCATGTTTGAATGTTCAGTTAGCTCTCTTTTTGTTTAGCTTTGATTTCTGTAAACTTAACTATGGAGTAGCTAAACTATATTTAGAAAAATAAAAGGTGTTTATAATAATTTCTGAATTATTATTTTTAAAATGCTGAAACTCCAATCAGTAAAAAAAAAGTATTTGGCAAAAGAATTGAGTATCTCTTAGCTCAGTTTTCTTGCTCTTCTACTCCAAAACAAAATGTGCTTTTGTAGAAGAACTTGATAGTAAGTCTGTCCAAAACTGAAGAAGAAATGTCCTTTTTTTTTTTTTCCTAGTTGATAATCAGTCTCAAGCTATGTAACTTACTGTGACCTATGGGATTAAATCTAATAAGCACTTAAAAATGCCCTATGGACTAATTTCTGCCTACTTCTCTGGCCTAATCATGTACTTATCTTTCATTGATTGAAGCTTTCTTTTTCTTTCTTGAACATAGATATTTCATTCTTGATGAATTTGCTTTTTTATTAGTTTACCTGTATCTGAAATGCTCATCTCAAAATTTTTCTTATCGTTAAATCTCAGCCTAAACATCAACTCTTTTAACTCCCAATCAAAAGTAGCAAATCTATCGTTGTGGCATTGTCCTATTTTGATTCTCTAAGTAGTTCCTTCCACTTATGTAGTTCCATTTTTTCTTATTTGTTCATTGCTGCTTACCCACTCTCAGTGCCTGACACATAGCAAGTACTCCGTAAATAATTGAATGAATGAACTAAGATTAAGCACTGGCACCTTTACTTGAGTTCTCTGAAGATAACAGCCATCTAGTTCACTTGAATGCTGTGTCATGGTTACCTTTCATTTTATAGAAAGTTTTTAAAAAAATTACCAGTTTGCTTGAGTTAATGAAAATGTTTTTCAGTTTGTTTCTATAACATTCCAATTGTTCTGTTTTGTCATTTAGATTAATCGGAGGATCTGACAACAAACTGATTTATAGACATTATGCAACGTTATATTTTGTCTTCTGTGTGGATTCTTCAGAAAGTGAACTTGGCATTTTAGATCTAATTCAAGTAAGTTAACACTTGCCTCTTACTGTCTTAAACAACAACTTTGGCATTTTTGTATTTTAAAACTTCAATGTTCTAAATTTTCTAAAATGATGTTTTGTTTGGTAAGAAATAAAGTATTCCATAGTAGATGTTGGCTGGGTAAAAGAGGGATGAGGGATGCAGAAATGCAGACTGGTTTAATCTGATGGAACTGACGACAGCTAATGTCCTTGTGCCTCTTCTCCTGCTCACGTAAGTCACCAGAGGAAGCCCTTCACCACATGTATCCAGATCTCACCCCACACCTGCCCCTTCCTGTCTCCTGCAAGTCTTCCTTAGCGTCCCTGTAAACTCACGGTCAGGTATCAGCAAAGTCCTTCAGCCTCTTCTATTAATATTGCCTTCATCTTTTTGCTGTCATCTAAATCTGGCTTCCCTGATGATCATACCTGCCACCTTCTCAAACAGTAGTTTTCTCTCCTCCTTTCTTCACTTCATTGAGCCTGAAGGGTGTTCTCTTTGCTTTTCATTACTTTGTCTAGACCCTTTTGTCTTCTGAAACATCTCCAGACTTTATCTCATGTTCTCAAACTGTACCACTTTCTACCCGTTGCAGTAACCTCTCACTCCCACTCCCTATTCATGGGAGATTTTGTCAGAAACTTTTAGTGGTCTGAGATTTTACTCTACCTGCAAGCTAAAACTACCCCGGTTTCATGGATGCTAACAAAAGATGGAGTGAGGGGGGTGGTGTTTCTGGTGCAGAAACAAAGGACTTTATTATTAACAGCAAAAGCAGTAGCCAGAGTGACAGCATTTGCTTACACTAGTTACTCAAGTCGCAGTTCCTAAAGTGTGACTCAATAAGGAGTCTTTTCATAACAGACACTAAGCATGTCTGCCCATGTCCTAGAGGAAGAGAATGTCTTCCAAGCAAAGGAAACGTACCCTTTGCTTTGGAGGGAAACACTGTCTATTTTCCAAGGCTGTTGGCTATACAAGTTTGCTTGGAAAGTTTATCCTCAGTAAAGGTAGTTAGTACCTCTGTTCACATGATGTAGAGGAATGCAAGACTCATGGAGGATTGTCTCCAACAGACACTAGTTCTTAGTTCCATGACATTCACTCCGGTAATATCTTGTATTACAATTCTTGGTTATTTCAACATTCATGTGGGTAATTCATTCAGTACACTGGTATCTTCAAACTGAAATTCCTCTTCTCCAGTGAATTTTGCCTGTTATCCCACTTCGCTGCTCACTTCTAGACCTTGTGTTTATCCAGACTTCGGTCCCTCACAGTTTCCACTCTCTGCTACCATCTCTTATCTTTTCATATCACAGTTTCTATTACTCCAGCGGTTCTTGGAGCCTGTTGGGACCCTCAGTCCTTTTCTTTGGTTGTTTTTTTTTTAAGGATAAAAATATTTATTGACAGTTTTCAGTTTTCTAGCTATAGTTATATATTCTAAACTGTTCGATGTTTATTAATAAATAAATGCCAGTTTTAGAAAAATAGATATATCTAGAATCCAGTATTCTCTTCCTATGTTTTTTGACTTTTCAGTGAATCTTTGGGATCTTCCATCTTTTAAATCTATCTTTTTCTCACTGTCCCTGATCCTCCTGATGTCTTACTTTCCTTGCCCAGCTTAAATTCCATGGTCAATCATGATAGTCATAGGCTTGCATATACTCAGCTTTTTGCCTATATCCACATATCTGAGAAAAAAAAGATAACCATACATGCTGTCCTCACTTTAAATTCACAGTCCCAGACCTTAGTGAGTCCTTAATGCTGCCCAGTAATCACATTATATTTCCCTGGTCATTTCAGTCTTCTACACTCCTCGACAATGGCTGATACATTCTCCTCCTTTCTCAAACCTCTGGCACTTCTCCAGCGTATAGCTTCCTGGTTTGTTAGGCAGTCAGAAGCAATCAGAAGGGAACTTCCACAGACTCTGTATCTGTGTCCTTGTACTCTGTCCTTTTCTGTAAGAAATGAGTGAACTCTGTTCCTAGCTAAGGCCAGCCCCCCCACTTATACACTAGTCTGCTTCCTCCTCATTGCTCTAGCATTTCTCTCTCCTCTATATCATTTTTTCTTCTCTTCAAGATTATTCCCACTAGTCTGTAATGTGTTGATATGTTCTTGTATCTTAAAAATCCTGTCCCTCCTTCCTTTTCTAGCCACTGCCTTATTTCTTTCCCTCTCCTTATAGCAAAACACTTTAAAAATGTTTTCTATATGCAGTGTCTTAAATTTTCCTTCTCCCATTCTTTCTTGAACACATTCCAATCAGGATTTTCAGCTCCGCTCTTGCTAAATCTAAAGGTGCTTCTCAGCCCTCCTTTGCTCGATCAAGATTATTTAGCATTCTCTTCTTCATGAAATACCTTCTTCACTTGGCTTCTAGGACACCTTACTTGTCTGGTTTGCATCCTACTACTATTAGTTGCTTCATTTTAGTTTCTTGATCTCTCTCAAGTCTTCTTTGGCAAAAACTCTGCTGAGTATGCAGAATCCACTTAGTACGCTCTGCACTGCCTCCACATGGTCCATGCCACTATCAGCTCTTGCTTCGGTTATTTCAGTAGTTTTCTGACTGGGCTTCCTGCTTCCACTGTCTTTTCCTTTTTGTCTTTTCTTAGTAGAACAGCCAGAGTGATACTGTTCAAATATGTTGTGTTTTACACTCTTCCATATTGAATTCTCCAATGGTTTCAGCCTGTCACAGCAAAAGCCAAATTCCTTATAAATGACCCGCGAGTCAGATAATCTTACTCTCCTCCCCATGCCTTATTACTTACCTCCATTTTCTAGTGTTTTCCCCTTTGCTTCACCCACCCTGGCCTCTGTGTTCCTCAGATCCACCAGGTATGCTTTTACCTATAGCCTTTGTACTTGCTGATCTTCCTACCTGTATTGTCCGCCCATCATTGATTACTATTTTGATATTATTGCTGATCCTAATGGATATGACGGCATGGTTGTTACAGCTCAGATGGGAATTAAAAACCAATATCCTTCATCATATCTGAAGTCTATCATCTATTTATGAAAAGTGGAAACTATGTCTTATGTTTTGCAAAACTGTTTAGCTATGACTATTTGAAATGTTGGTAATATGTCTTGTTCCTAAATAAATACAAAGAAAAGAATTTCAGGAGAATTATGTTGTCTTTCCATTTCTAATGTAGACTTGAGCTGTTTTTATAAGAAGATCCTATTGAGTTAATACATGTTGATCTATTATGTCACAAAAAAAGAAACTTTCTGTAATTTGCCTTACAGAGATGGTTCTTTCACTCCCTTGAACATGTTGGAAATTCTGTAGTTACTGTCTTTCCCCTGTGGTTATCACAGATCTTTGAAGAAGAGGGATTGCTGAGTATGGACAAGGTAGTCATTTTTAAAAAAATTGGTTGAGTGAACAAAATGGAAGGGAGTAGCTTATTGTTTCTGCTTCTGTCTCCTGAAACAAACAGCTTTTCAGAGCTTATTTAGGACTGATTTTCTGGCCTTGTTCATCCTCTGGTTTTGAGAAAGGCAAGTGTAATACAAGTAAAGGTGGAAAGGTATATAAATCAAGAGAGTTTAGATCAAAGCCTCTTGGTTTTATATTTTCGTTAGTAAATGGGTCAGTCAAGAAGACTTAATCAATATCAGTATGTGATGACTGAATACATGTTTTCATTGTGTTTTTTTTAATATTAAAAATGATACAATTCAAATGATCATTGGGTACTTATGTTAGTACTTTTATGCAAAGATTTTGTGTTTCTAAGGTACCAGTGTGTCTTGTCAGATTTGACTTTTTATCTTATATAAAATCTGAAAGAAGGACTTGCTAGTACCTTCCCTGTGAGATTTATACCAGCATGCCACCAAGTTGAATAATCAGCCTCGATTTTCTTTTAATTCTTTGTTAGTCGGGGAAAAGGAGGCCTTTTTTTCTTTCTTGTGTGTGCTATTTTAGTGTGATATTGACTGCAATATAATCCAGTTTCAGAGTTGTAAGCTAGCCTTTTTGAAGGCCTTTCTGTTGTAGCATATCTTTATTGGAAGTGCTGAAATATTTACACCGAGTGAGAATAAGCCTTCATTAAATATTCATGTTGGTTGTTTGAGCTATTTATAAGCAGTGCGTCCTCAATTAGTCTCGCACGCCATGCTGTAATGGAGGCGTAGGAGTCTCCTCGGTGATGCCAGGCGCTCACAGCTTTCCAATGCGCGACGCCACGCGTAGCAGCCGCTCAGGGCCAGCCCTGTGCAGTTAGGGTCGGCGAGACGCGGGGAGGAGCTGCGGAGCTCTTCTCCAGGCCTAGAAAGACATGTTTGGTCCCGGTGTGAGAATGTCTGTATGACCTAGAGCTCTTGCATACATGGCGTCTGTCAGTTCCGTAGCACTGACTGGCTCACTGACTTTTGTGAAGTTATTTTGCTTATTGCTGTTAATGTTAATTTAATGTAACAGTGAGCAAGTCATTTAATGCTTGCAGACCTTGAATTTTTTTCAGCTGTGAAGTATGCCTATTTCAGAATACTACCTATAGGCCTCACGAGCTGTTAGAAATATCAGTGAATTAAAGCGCACTGGTAGTGACTAAAGCCATTCAGGCCATGCTTGTACTTCGGGCAAGTTATTTAACCCCTTTAACCCTGATTTTCCTTGTCTGCAAAATGGGGGTAATAATAATAACTCATAGAATAGGTGAAAGCATTAAAAAATATATAGTGTATGTGAAGCCTGTTGCTAAATGACTGACTTATAGCAGTCAAATTTTTTTAGCTGACATTATCATTAAAGCATATATTTATGAAAGTAAAAGTGAAGTCGCTCAGTTGTCTCCGACTCTTCACAGCCCCATGGACTGCAGCCTACCAGGCTCCTCCGTCCATGGGATTTTCCAGGCAAGAGTACTGGAGTGGGGTGCCATTGCCTTCTCCGATATATTTATGAGGATAGTGTATAAACTTTTATTTCATTAATATACAAACTGAATTGGGTAAAGAAG